TATATTCATCCCTTTTTTCAGGGTTTATGGAAGGGTTTATAACGTCTTAATAAACCCTTTAAAAGGGTTTGTGATACGTTGCACTTTCATAAACCCTTTTTTCGTTTTTTATTCTACGGATATATTTTACAGTGCACAGTCGGAGAAAAGCGGTGACTAATCGGCTCGGTAAAAAAATATGATGTGCGTAAAAAGTATATTTATTAAATGCGAATATATAAACTCACACTTGTTCACTTCCGACCGGGTTTCATTTTTCTTTTTGAATGAGTCACATCTAACTTGGTTTTTCCCCACCGAGAAGAAACTCGTATATAAAGAGATGAAATCCGACAAAAGAATTCATATCACGTCTTTTGCTACGAACTTCTACGTTCTAGTAGTCACAGGTTTTGACTTTCACAGTGCATCATTGGTAATGGATCCAAACTCCTCATGGCAACGATCGATTGACGGGAAGGTTTGCCCGAAAGACCAAAATGGAAATTATACGCAACGCAGTGATTTATGCCATGGTGTACATATGGCATGGCACAAAACAAGTGAATATGTTGATAAAGTAGGCGGTGGTACGGGTGAATATGATCGAACACGATACGAAGCTCATAAGAGTAAAACAAGTCCATACAAAGATGGCAAGAAATGAATAGCAACACACGCGTGAACATTTAAGTTTTCTAGCTTCGAACCTTTCCTTTCCTTGTAATAACAATTCCTAATAAACAAGTGTAAAAGTAATCTTTTTTTGATGATGTCTGTAGGGGACCTCACGCAAAAAATTGTGAATGCCGTTTTCGAAGGAATAAACTTGAGAAAAGTGATCAGGAACGACCTCTCATTCATATCTGATAGAAATTATTCAATTCTGAAGGGGCGGGAAAATGGCCTTATCCGCCCAAGTCCTTTCTTTCTGACAAAATTACAAAGACTATAATAATGTTAATATTCTATGTTAAACATGTGCCTTTGTTTTGTGAAACTTTAGATTAAATACTACAAAGCACTTTTACGACATTAACATAAACTTCAACCAACATCAATTCATTTGGTAAGTCTTATGTGGGTTTACTTCTTCTAGTGAATTCGATTATATTCTCCCTATTTATCAATTATGACTATATTTCAGTATATAAAGACCCGTCTTGAGGTCAATATATCGCACACACTCACTCGCATCCATTCCTGTACCCTAATGGCTACTCCTTAGGGTGTGGGTGTGGTTCTGAATCATTGCTTCATATAGTTTTATACACAGACCCAAACCCAAACCTTCGCCCACACCCAAACCCACGCCCACACTAACACCCTCATCCACACCCACCCACGCCTCATCAAGTCTGCGGAACTGTATACTACAATCAAAACTTTTCAATTTGTGACATTGTATTTAGAGCGTAAGAATTAGTTTGGATACTAATTGTAAGAGCAGCCATGGGAAAATTCGAACTGGTAACTATACCTTCGACAGATATTGAATATGTCATCGAACGACTGAAAAATCATGAAAAAATGACTCATGAAGAAGCTGTAAAATGTGTTCAAGAACTGATTCACTTTTATACTGCAATCAAATATGGAAAGAGAGGATCTCCATCGGATATGATTGACAAAGCTTGGCATGCGCACATTCTTAATACTCCAATGTACATGGAATTTACACAAGCCACGTTTGGTAGATTCGTTCATCATGTACCTTACTGGTCAGGACATCAAAGTGATGGAACTGAAGATGATATTTATAAATATTTAATAAGTCTCTTAGGAGTTGATCATGTAGATGCCACTGTATGGGGCCAAGAAGAGATTAACTGCGTTTATAACGAACATTCTAGCGATGTACAACGCTTGGAATATTGTCAAAAGAACATTAGTTCACACCGACAGTGTACTACATCTAAGTAAACTTTTGAAGATACGGTTCGATTATTATTTGAAAACGAGATATTTTCATTACTACTAATTCGTCTTATGCATAACATTCTTATTAAAACCATGATTTGTCCAAAAATATAATGAGCTTATAAAGCTTGTCGATTCTGAAAAGTAAGAGCCGCCAAGGTATGGGATCAAATATATGTTCTTGCAAGAGTGTGCTGAAACATCATTTATTTATTATATAGTCATACTGTTCGTTGCTTGATCTCATAGTCAGTTTTATGAAAAAAAAGATACAATAAAGTCAAACGAAAAAAAAAACGCTTGCGAATAGTTTACTTGTACATGTAACTACATACAAATATACACCATAAGTGCCAAAATCTAGAAAAGAGCACTGTAGGCATGTATGCGATTATATATATGTGGCAGTATATTTAATCACTGATCAAGGCCTACACTCACGAAAAAGATACCATCCGTTGTAAAAACTAGAGCTGATAAGGTTTTACCTGACTTGTTCACACTGAGGAATTGTGCATCGGAAAAATCATCACTATCATCATGTAAGAACCTCAATCGAAAATATGATGGTCTGTTTTTGGTGCAGAGTTGCAACCGGTAGGGTTTTTTCTAGACCGGTACCGGTACCGGTCTAAACCGGTCAGACCGGACCGGTCGTTTACCGTTACCGATTACAACTCTGAGATGTAGATAAAGTAAATTTAAAACTACTCTTATGATTTATAAGAAAACAAAACGAATAGAAATCTGAGTTTTTAAAAGTGAATAACCATCTCTAGACCAAAAATTAAGATTAAATTCAAAATCAATTCATCAGTAGTTGGCTAGAAAGCATTTTTATTATCGAAACACTTATAGTACAATGATTTTGGTCTTCCCTCATGTGCGCATAATCCCATCCCTTTGCAGTTATAAAAAAATATCAAAAGGTATTAAAAAAAACTTTTTACCAATGACAGAAGATAATTTCCAATAGTGGGAACGGTAGTTATCTCTGCTTCGTATTCCAATGATAGCTACATACATATAGCTTTTTTGTGGGCATAACTCAACTATTTTTATGTGTTCTTGCATAAATTTCTCATTCGTTTTCATGGTTTCTATGTTATTAACCATGTCAGCGGCCATGAAAACGTGCTTTTTTGCTTTTTTTCACAATAGCGTAAACATGTTTTGAATATTTTTTAATGCCATCACACTTCAACAGTTGAGTAGAAACAGTGACTATATATAGGTTTTTTTTCTGCATTTAAATATGACCGCTTTTTCCTTGTGCATCGTCATTTCTTTACAACAATCTACTTACAAAAAAGAATTTCTATCTATATTTATTATTATTTGATCTAATGCGACAACATTTAAAATTGTATAATAACTTTCAAAAAAAATGATAGTTAACAGAAAATAATTTAAAAACAATGTTATGGCTATTCAAACAATGACCTTCAGTAGGAACAGATTTATTGATTCTATTTTACTGCAAATCATCGAAGTGAAAAACGTTTAAATCGTTTTTCTTGGTTAACTTTCAAACAAAGGGTTTCAAGATAGTAACTAGTTATTCCGATATCGATTTTAGAACTTCTTACAGAAAATTTTGTATTAGTACTTATAGAATTACTTTACATTTCAAATAAGATGACTGATGAATCATCTATTGCTGATATTAGTCCTCCAAAAACAACACTCAATGATGATAAAACATCGCTATGCCAGCAGCTTATGAGTCGATTACAGGCATTAAATTCTCTTACAGCAACAACAGCAGTATCAAAGAAGCAGATATGGTTAGAATTCCTTTCACTTTGGTTCGACATCTTACAAAATTCTGTTTCCGATGTTCCGTCATGCTATAAAGAATGTTCTCGACTTCCACATAATATGATTAACAAAACTAGTTTTTATCAATTAAAACGAGAGACAGATGTCGCTCGACAAACTTTTTTTACATGCCTTTCCCTGCTCAATCTATCACACATCAAAGATTATCTTAAGTCGACGAATGAGAATGGTGCAGTGTCAACAAATCAGGCGTATTGTACTCAGGTTAACTTTATGCTAAGCCTCCTCTCAGAAGCACTTCCTTATTTACCATTGCTATCGACCGATGAGGAGAAAATAATCGAGAAAAGCACTGAACTTTTTACATTACTCATTGAATATGTTGATCTCTGCATGCCGATTAAATCAAAAACAACTGAACAGAAGGACTATAAACTAGATTCCCCTATTATGGATATCCTTTCTGTATTGTGGAATCTACTAGATCGTACGGTATTTGTGCCAACCTTTTTAAAATGTGATCTACCGAAGAAAGTGGTCCTTTGGTTAGCACAAGCACGCATGTTGTTAGTTGAAAGTCGACAACCACTTATCCATATTGCTCTTAATATTTCTTGGCATGATGAGGGAGCCGATGAACTTAATAAATATAGAGCTATTGCTGTTATCAAACAATATCAAAAAAAGTAAGTTTATATTAAGTGAAATGTTGATATAGAGATTATTATTTACCTTCAGATATATCGAAGATGATTCCAGATTAATTGTTTTTGGTATGGTTTTGGCTCTTCTCTCAACACCTGAACAACTTAAAAATGATGCAAAAGATATGAAGATTGTACTTGATAAATTACTACAACTTGTCATAAATGCTGATATTAATAAAAGTTCTCGTTATAATGGTTTTCACATTAGTGAACCTTTAGGCGTTTTAGTCAAAATGTTTGTTGTCGAGGAGCAAACACTTGATTATACACTTTGTCGTGCTGAAACTGAACCTCCATCTGATATGCATTCGACCATTAGTTTATTTATTTCTTTATTTTTCAAGTTTTCCAATGCATTGAAAGGAGACAATGGTCTTGAACAGTTTACATTGACAGCTATTCTAAATATTCTGTGGAGTATTTCTTTTCATCCAATTTATGGACAAGAATTACTTAGTGATGAAAAATTAATAGATACAATAAAAACATTCACAGACGATCATAATCAACAAGAAATTGTTGAACAATATAGACGAAGATCAATGGAAAGTATTAAATCAGCAACGTATGGAATTTTACATAATCTTAATCGAAAAATTACAAATGATATTGCATCTGATGAAAAAATTGTTACTCACGATATTCGCGAATCAAACTCCATGAAAGGGTAAGAACAAAAGCTTTTATTCATGAAATGAACAACGTTCTATAGACATAGATTCGATATTTCTAGAAAATCTGACAAACCAATGATTATGATTAGTTATTGTCATAAGAATGATAGTTTTTGTACTGAATTATTTAATTTGTTAACTACACATAATGATGCATTTGATATATGGATTGATCGAACACATTTGCAAGGAGTTGATGATTTATGGGAATTAATTGCTTATGGAATTGAACGATCTTCTATTGTAGTGAGTCTTATTTCGAGTCAATATTTTGAAAGTAAATCATGTC